TTATACAAACTTTCATTAGTGTCAATTAAGGCAATGAATTCTCAATTCACCACCTGTAAAATTCCAACGTGTTTTTATAAGTCGCTGGTCTACAGAATGAAATTTTTGTTATTACCAACAAACAGCTTTATCTCTATTTCCAACATTTCTAAAATCCAAAAAAGAGGCGAGCTGCTATTGTTTGGAAGCAATCAGCCACTCTTTACCTTCTCTCTATCCAAATCAAACAACAAAAATTATTTTCTTTTTCATGTCTACTGCTGAGTTTTCAGGAGCTGCAACAATCTTCAGCTGATCCACGCGCTCCGAAGCTGAACTCTGCTTCAACAACTCCAGCAGATGCAAATGCAACGAATCGCAAGCGACCTGCAAGTCCTATACAGTCTTTGTGCCCTTCAGGAGGAGATGGCCTCGACGATTCACCGGACTACCCCAGATATACAACAATACAAGGATTGAAAGCACGAAAATCATTGACGGCTAGGTTGGCAGAAACGCTACCTTCAAATATTTGAACAGTTCTTTTTATGCTAATCCTGCTGCAGGACTCGAAGGCAGCTCAGAATGACTAGGATGCGAGCTGCTACTATGAAAAATTCGTTGCGTAAAATAGGGAAGCGAGCTCGAAAAGTGTTACCAACTATTCGCGTGCGAGACGTCAATGTCATTGACAAATATTCAAGAATTGTCTTTCCTGTTTGTTTTATTGTTTTCAAGTAAGGGTTCTGCATCTTACAAAATCTTCAATTTTGAAGTTTTAAAATTTTGTCATTTTCAGTGTTTTCTACTGGGGATACTATTCGATAATTCAGTTGTGATTGACCGGTACAACAACGACTACTTCATGATGCTCAACAACCTAAGACAACCTTCAATCATTGCCATAAAAATAAATATAAAACATATTGAAGCCCATCAGCTTTATCAAATTATAAAGAGATACAAAATGTTAGAAAGACAAGAGATCCATGTACTCTTCTCTCTCAGCATGGCGGGCTGGAATA